GTGTCAGCTGGGGAGATGGCAGCGCAGCCCACGTTGACTTACTCTCCCATTTTTTTTTTTTTTTTTGTCTTTTGTCTTTTTTCCGTGTCCGGCAACGGATCGCAACCCTCGGTGTTGCTCCCGCGCCTCGCTCAGCCAGTGAGCGGGAACCGGTCTGTATGTGGGATCCGAACCCTCGGGCGGGAGTGCCGCCGCGCTTCCCAAGCGGCGCACTATCCAGTGTGCCACCGGGCCGGCCCCCTACTCTCCCATTTTGATGGTGGTTGGTCCTTGGAGGGCTCATCTAATTCCTTATCTCCTCCCAATGGGCTTTGGCATTTTGTGACCCTCGTGTGACTCTGAAAATACTCTAGTCAGATTGGAACTTTCCTCCAGACCTAGGCACCAGGAGTGTTACCAGGACGCTCCCCAGACTCCACCATCAAACACCACAGTGACATAAGCTCTATACTTTGACTAATGAAACGGGGACATGAACTGTTCTAAGACCCAAGAGGGTGTAATTGTCATGGGGTGCTCTGTCAAGTAGATGTGGGAAACAGGACTGTTAAGAGGACTGTACCTGGGTCTGAGCCTGGAAGGAAAAAATGCAAGCAAGGTAAGTAGATTTCATTTCAAACCTGCATCCCCCTAAATGCGAGGCCAGGACAGCTGCTCTGATTCCAATTGGTCATTCCAGTTTAGTAGCTCACCTGCCTTATACAGGTGAGCAGGAAGGGGGCAAGATGATCATATAAAAGTGAGTTTTCAATTGCAAGTCAATAACTTCGTGATTGTCTGCAAACTGTACAATGATTAGTGACTCCAATGATAGGTGGGTCTCATTCAAGGATATAAAGGATATTCGTTTGCTCATTCATTTTTACAACAAATATGTATTGAATACCAGGCTCTGTTCTAGGTGCCAGCTGTACAGCAATGAACAAAACAGTGGAAGTCCCTGAGTTCATGGTCTTTACAATTTAGTGGCAGAGACAACTGGTAAACAAAGATGTATGTGCCAGGGGCGCTGTTTCAGATAGAGCAGTAGGAAGGGGTCTGTAAAGGAAGTGACTTGGGAGGGAGCTTGGACATGTTTTGAGCTAACTTTCAACCTGCACTTGTACTTCCTCCTCCTCTCCCCTTCCTTCCCCCACCTCTCATCTCCCCGACCTCCTTCTCCTCCTCCTCCTCCTTTTTCTTCTTTTTGTAATTTGGTTTACCACCTTGAATTTTAAAAATAAAACAAAAAACTGTAACTGGAGGATTTTATCCACAGTTTTTCATGGATTTCAGTAAAATTGTTCCAAAGTCACAGACACCTGCAGTTACTTAGAGAGGACAGTGGACCAGTATATGTGGCTCTCTACTCCCTGAAAGTATGGAATCCCTGAGTGCCTGCCATGCCTTCAACAACTGTAGCTTTTGTGTCCTTGAGACCAGGGTCTGTCTGGGTGGGCTGCAGTCTCCTCGGGGCTTAGAGCTGCCCCCTAACTGTTCAATTTCCATTTTGCCAGGCTTCTGCCTACACTGTGGTCCTGAACCTGCCCTCCCATCAGTTTATCTGCCCCTTGGAAAAGAAGACAATGACTTTGAGCTTACCATGGTCGTTACTGTCACCAATCACGCAGGGAACAGACAGCAGACCCGTGTGGTGATTAAGGTGGGTGGTGGCAGCAGCCACTATTTCTTTGTTGAGAAAACTTTGCAAACCTTATCTGAACCTCACAAAAGGGTGGCTGGGTGGAAGAAGGGAGCAGAGGGCCTGGCCAGATGAATCACTGATTCATTAACTCCTTCAACAAATATTTACAGAGCATCTACTATGTGCCAAGTCCTGGGGATCGACACGGTCTCTACTTTTGTAGATCTTAGGACTTAGTGGCCAGAAGAGTGGTAGGGTCCTGGGAGCCAGGGGTTGGGGCGGAAGGGCCCAAGCATGAGTTAGGCCGGCACCTTCAGAGAGTTCAGAGGAAGGAGGACCAAGATAGGCCAACAGGGACATAAGGCAGAGCCTGGATAAAATCCCAAGAAAATGTCAAGGCTCAGAAGCCACGTGGAGATGGAAGAGACTGAGAACAAGATGAGAAGGCCAGTGAGGGGTGAAGCAATGGACTGGCCAAGGCTCAGTGTTGGTGGCCGTCAGCTGCCTGGGTCAAGCAGGTCCGTATGCCTGAGCTCCCCCATGCCCAGGCCAAAGGTTTCTAGGCCTGTTCCCCACATGAAGACCGTGACTTTGGGTGGTCCCAAAGGTTCTTGAACAAGGATCACTGAGCACATTTCCTCATTAGGTGGGACCCGGAGACACGCATGTTGAGGATGTGGCATTCCAAGCTGCTGTGTCGGAGAAACTCACTGTTGCTTCTCAAGGCGCGCATGGCCCTGAACATCTCCTCCAGCTGGCCAAGTCCCTGTCCTCTCTGCTGAACCAGGAGTGCCAGGGCCAGAACTCCAGGCAGCCACCGAGCATGGACACCAGACGCAAGGTGCTCCGTTTATACCCTGCCACTGGGGCCCCCAGGGTCCATGTGCAGCCATTCGAGGTGGGAGCCATTTGGGGTGGGAAGCAGGGTTCAAGAGTCAGATCAGTGGAGAAGCCTTTGTTGTCTCCCAAGTGGTTGACATCACTTCCCTCTCTGGTCCTTTCAGTGAGTGACATAAAGTGGAGAAAAAGCCTTCTTTGTTGCTAACTTCTTTCTCTGCTCACCTTCATGGGGTCACAGCCTTCTGTGACTGGAAGGGAATTTAGAGAGCATCACTGCAGCCCCTTCATAATAAAGATGACAGAACCGAGGCCCAGAGGAGAAAAGTGGCCTAGGTTATATGGTTCATAGTTTGGGGTTGGAGCTGTTGTCACAGCTCTGTCACCGCCATCTGAATTGTCATGGGCCAGAGACTGAACTTCTCTAAGCCTAAGTTCCCTTCTGAAAAATGGGGATAATAGTAGCATTTTCCTTGTAAACTTGTGGTGAGAGTTAAATAAGAGTTATAATCACTGTAACTAAAGGTCAAACCATGAAATTGCCAACATTTGACCAGTTTTAACCCACAAAAATGGCCATTTCATGTTACATCCTAATATTATGAACAAGTATTTCAGAAGGTAGGATCACACCCGCTCCCAGTACCTGCAAAATGAATATGCCTGTGCGCACGCACACCCGTATGCACACGCACACTCACGCATGCGCACACGCACACGCACACCCCTGTCTGCAGGGTGTGGAGAAGAGAAGAGAGACTTCCCCTGGTCCCCTGAGGGCTTGCATGAAAGTACATTGCCTGGTGCTGGACATGTGGTAAGTACTTAATAGGAGAAGCAGCGGTTGTCATAGTAACTACTTATGAAAAGTAACTAACATTTATTGAGCACCTACTGTGTGCCACCAGGCCCTGAATTAGGGCTTCATGGATGTGTGATCCCCGTTACAACCCTGTGAGGTAAATGTTGAGGTTGCTTCTACGTCATAGATGAGGAAACACAGGGTAAGAGTGTTGTCGTCACTGGCCCAGGGCCACATGTCTGGTAAGTATGAGGCTACTTCAAAATCTTCCTGGAAAGATTTGCATTATCTTTCAATTCTGTTTTTCCATGAACTTTTTTTTTTTTTTCCTTTTTGTCTTTTTTCGTGACTGGTAATGGGATCGCAACCCTCCGTGTCACACCTGCACCGCGCTCAACCAGTGAGCGGACCAGTCTCTATATGGGATCCGAACCCTCGGCGGGAGCGCTGCACTCTACCGAGTGCGCCACTGGGCCGGCCCTCCATGAACTTTTTGAAGTACCCTCATAGTGAAGACGGGATTCAAATCTAGTTTGGCTCTCTCCTCCCTCCACTTCCAGCCCTCTCACCCTAGCCCTGTGCTGTCCATTAGCCACCCCCCCACGCACACACACACACACATGCACACATGCATGCAGAGATACACACGTGTGTGCACTCGCACACACATCCACACACCCTACCTGGCTCCCACTCTGAGCAGCACCTATAGCAAAGTTCCCTTTGGACATCCTGGGGTCCCCAAGCACACAGATTCCACAGCCTGACCCAAGGTCCCCTGTGAAATGTCAGGGCCCTGGCAGGAGATAGATGTCAAACTGGGCAATTTTAAGATTTTTAAGAAGGGCTCTGTTGAGAACAGTGGGGCAGGGTTTAGGGAATGAACGAACAAGAGAGAGTGCAGGACCCCAGGGACTCAGCCTGGAGTGACCAGAATCCAGAGGGGCAACTGCATGTGGAGAGTGTTCCCTGGTAGGAGCCATGGCAGCCACCCCATTGGCCCAGCAGCTCTCTGTCCTCCAACCCTCTCATCTCCTGTGGGGCCTCCCTATGGGAGAATCCACTGGCCAGAGGGCCAGGAGCCAGTGACATCTGCACACAGGTCCCTGCAAGGCACATAGGGTAGGGTGGGGAAGGATGGAGGGAGGATCTGCAGAGGCTAACACAAGATTTTGCATTATCCAAGTTTCCCTTCTGGAACATTCTTAGAAGAGTCCTCTAACATCTTGGACTGTTCTTTCCTCCATCCAAGCCACAGCCTGGACGGAAGCCTGGATGCGCCTCAGCTGGTGGCAGACATGCTCAGACTGCAGCTGCCTTGGAAGTATGTAGGCTGAGTGAGTTTGGTAGCAGGCCATGTAGGCAAGAATGACTGCCCATTTGTGTTTGTGCTATCCAGAATGGTTGCCACGGGCCATGTCTGGCTACTCAGATCTAAACTCAAATTTATTTAAATTAAATAAAGTTACTAATTCAGTTCCATGGTTGCATGAGCTGTATTCCAGGTGCTCAATAGTCACATGCGGCTAGTGGCTACTGTACTGGACCCCACAGGGAACAGAACATTTCTATCAATGCAGAAAGTTCTACTGGGTGGTGCTGAAATTATGTCCCAGTTTTTCTCTGCTGCTGCCAAGGCCATCTGCTGGCCAGCCCCTCATTAGTGCTTTGTGACTTAGAAAACACATGCCCCAGCAGCCCAGAGGGTCTGGCCAAAGGCAGGAGAAGGAGGCACGAGTAGGGGGAACCCTGTCCCCACCTTGCCAAAGGCACACAGGGATCCCAAGCCTCCAGTGAGATCTCACATGCACATTGGGCCAACAGAGCAATCCAGTTTCTGAATTCCGTGTCATTCCGGTCACAAGTGCCACCCTGAGACACTACTTATTTTTAAATAATGCCAACCTTTATAGATTTTATTTGAAGATTTGGAGAAAGCTTGCAACATCCTATATTAGTTTCCTATGGCTGCCGTGACAAATTACCACAAATTTAGTGGTTTAAAACACAAATGTATTTTCTTACAGTTCTAGAGGTTGGAAGTTTGAAATGGGTTTCATTGGGCCAACATCAAGACGTGGGCTGGGCTGTGAACCTTCTGGGGGCTCTTGGGGATAATCTGTTCTTTGCATTTTCCAGCTTCTAGAGGCCACCTCCATTCCTTGGCTGCTGGCCCCTTCCTCCAACTTCAAAGCCAGCAGCATAGCATCTTCCAAGCCCTCTCCTCTCCCCTCCTCCCCCAGCCTGTCTCTCTCTCTCTCCCCTCTCCTTCCCTCTTATAATGACCCTTGTGATTACACTGGTCCCACCTGTTAATCCAGGATAATATCCCTAACTCAGGATCCTTAACCTAATCAAATCTCCAAAGTGATTTTGCCAAAATGCCTTTGGCCATGTGAAGACACATATTCACAGGTTTTGAGAATTAGAACATGGATGTCTTTGGGGGCCACTATCCTGCCTGCCACACATCCTGTGAGGTGAAAGGAGGTCCACAGGGCTTTGGAAAACCCAGATGAGCCTGGTCACTCCCTCTGACCCCACATCTTTCTGAAGCTTCATGGAGCCACTGGGATTATGTTTCCTCTCCCTGCCTTTCTCCTCCCGTGCCTAGGTCAGAGAGCGTTTGCTGGGGTTGCTGTCCGCAGTCACCACCAGCCTGGAGGATGTGCAGAGGGTTTGGGGGCTGGCCGAGGTGCTGAGAGAGGTGACCCACCGCAGTGAGGAGCTCACAGGCTTGGCCCAGGTGAGTAGTTCCACCCTCTGAACCTGCCGTGGGACACGTGCCTCCACAGAGGGGGGTGACAACCCAGCAGGCACAGGTGAAGGGGGCCCTCAGTCATAAGGCTCTACCCTCTTCTTTCCAAGGTATAAGGTGGTGTGAAGGAAGGTGCCCCTCCAGCACCCCTGTGTCTCACGCTGGGTGGAGTGGTCTGTTTGCCCACCCCTCCCTCCCCCACCCACTGCTGAGCAACTTGAGGGAGTAACTTAGTTAATCTCTAGGTGGTCAAGTGAACTAGTCCATTTCTTTTGCATACACAGAATACCTGAAACTGGATAATGTGTAAAGAAATTAGATTCATTTCTTGTAGTTTTGGAGGCTGGGAAGTCCATGGTCCAGGGGACAAATCTGGTGAGAGCATTCTTCTGGGTGGGAACTCTTTATAGGGTCCCATGGCAACACGAGGTGTCACATGGTGAGAGAATCACAAGAGAGAGCTAACCTTCTCACTTCCTCCCCTTACAAAGCCATCAGAACCACCATGATAACCCAATAAACCATGAACCCATTACTCCATGAATGGATCAACCCATTTACGAGAGCACAGTCCTCACAATCCAATCACCTCTTAAAGGACCCACCTTCCACTACCATATTGGGGATTAAGTTCTAACATGAGCGTAGGGGACATTCAGACCACAGTACCAAGTGTGTGTCCAGGTGCTGCTGTGATCCTCCTGTGTCCCCCACTTCAGTGCATGCTCCTGCGTTTCTTTTGCCTGGAGGCCTTCTCTGACCCCCAGAGTCCACTCTACCTGCCCTCATAGCAGGGAATTCATGCAATGCCCAGTGACTAATGGGGCTGGTGTACAGGTGCCCCAGCTCCCTTGTTCCCATTGAGGGGTAGCCCCCAAGTGTCGGGTCCACCGCCAGCAGCCGACCCGTACAGCCCTAGCCTCGTTCCTTTCAGTGGGCGAGCAAACGGCCCGGGATTCCTCTTTCCCTCCGGTCCCCTTTTGAAGGAGACAGGGGAAGAGAGCCGTGAAGAGAGGGGAGCACACCACCGGCCCCAAACCAGCCCAGTTAAAGGACACTCAGACACGGTGAGGGTTCTGTCAAGCAGTTCCATTTATTAACACACAAGCATTGGCTTTTAAAGGTAAATGGCAAAGGCAGGTTTTTTACATCCTCCAATCAGCTTAAGGGTTAAGGGCACGCATCCTGTCTCAATACCTATCTATTGCAATTACGCAGTGTTCACAAGTGCGGCCAATAAGGGCTAAGGCAAGGTTCCTGCAGACACTCCCACCCTGCTTTCTCCCGGCGCCATCTTAGGATGCCACGTTAATCCACTTGTAATGTCACTTTAAGGTGGAGTTAGTTTTTTAAAGGCCCAACACCCAAGCAGGACTGAGCCTCAGGTAACGGGCTTGATCAAACCCCGTGTGGGCTTCTTGCCCTTCACTGTCTCAGATCCCCAGTCCCCTAGTGTGTTAGTCCATTTCCTATTGCTTATAACAGAATACCTGAAACTAGGTAATGGATAAAGAAATAGAATTTATTTCTTAGTTTTGGAGGCTGGGAAGTCCAAAGTCCAGAGAACACATCTGGTGAGGATCTCATTGCTGGTGGAAACTCTTCTATAGGGCTCTGAGCAACCAGGGTATTACATGGTGAATGGGCTAAGCAAGACAGAGCTAACCTACTCACTTGCTGTCTTTATAAAGCCGTCAGAACTATGCCCATTACTCCATTATACAATCAACGGATTAATCTATTCATTAGGTTACAGTTCTCACAATCTAATCACCTCCTGAAGGGCCCACCTTTCAATTACCATAACAGGATTTCCCATCCTCTTAACACTGTTACAATGAATATTAAGATTCCAATACTCGAACCTTTGGGGGACACAATTGACCAATAGCACCCACCAACGTTTCCCAGGATCACCACCAAATAAATGAGTTGCTCTTAAATCCTTCCCTTAGGATCTGCTTCTTGGAGAACTCAAATTATCACACCATGTTTCCATGGTTATTGCATCCAAGGGTTAAAAAAGAAGCCATAAAAACAGGAAAAGGGGGAAACTGCCCTGGCTGTGCCCTGCCCCCTCTGGCAGGAGGCTGTCCTCCTCGGATCCTCCAGCCTGAAGCCAGGAAGGCTGGTCCTTATTTCAGGGGCCATGGTGCTGTTATGACACTTCCCACTTACACACCCATTTGCCCATCCACCTATTTTAGGTGCATAATATATACATGTACCTATGTACATCCTCCCCATCCTTCTACTCATTTATGCATGTATTAATTTATTCATTCAACAGATGCTTCCTGAATGTCTAGTATGTGCCAGGTACTGTGAAACTCATTGAGAATTCAGCAGAAAATCACACACACATGGCTTCTGTCCTTATGGCACTTTTAGACTACTAGAGCAGCCAGACATTAAACAAATAATTTGAAAAATACATATATAATTACAAAATTACAATAAGCACCATGTCTGTCCATCTATCTGACCATCCATTTATCTATTCATTCATTCATTCATCATCTGTACATCCATTTGTCCTCCATCCATACACCATGTCTGTCCATCTATCTGACCATCCATTCATCCATCCATTTATCTATTCATTCATTCATTCATCATCTGTACATCCATTTGTCCTCCATCCATCTGTCCGTCCTCCGTCCATCTATTCATCTACCCATTCATCCACCTATCCATCATCCATCCATCCATCCATCCATCCCCCTCTCAGCAAATGCTACTGCATGCCTCCTATGTGCAGGGCATTATTCAGGACACCCTGGGAGGGATTCTGAGACAGACAAAGCTTCTCTCCTGAAGGGACTTAGTGCATTATAAGGAGGGGGGACCTGGTCTCGAGTCAGAGATACAGGCAGTTTATGTGACAGGACTGGCCCACCTCTTCCTTGGCTTGTGCCCCTGCCTTGCTCCCTTCCACCACAGCCCTTGTTCCTTGAATGGCACAGGGGATGGTCTCTGCCAGGTGGGGCTCATGCTGCTTTTCCTTCTTTGGGTGAAACCAGCGGGAGGCCAGCCAGACTCTGGAGCTTGCCAGTGAGGCCCTATTGACAGTGAGTGCCAAGGCCCATCCTGAGGACCAGAGGTTCCAGGCAGCCACCAGGGACCTGTTTCAGGCTGTGGGCAGTGTGCTGGAAGCTTCCTTGAGCAAAAGACCAGAAGAGCCTGCAGAGGCCAATGGCAGCCAGGTGAGCGACCCAGGCCAGATGCAGACCTCACAGCCACTACATGCCCAACTCACATCAGCATGTCTAGGTGGACTTTTCTCCCCATCTTGCAGATGAGGAAACTGAGGCACAGATTAAAGTGTTGCCTGGGGAGCTGGAAGAAAAGTCCCAGAGAGCAGAGCTTCCAGGAAGCAGTGTGGTGTGTAAGCAGAGCACAGGCTCTGGAGCAAGGCAGCCTGAGTTTGTATCCTGCCTCTGTAACCTACACACACTTCTGTGCACTCAAACATGCTCACACTCACACTCAGTCACTCATCCATGCGCACATTCAAACACTTACATTCACGTGCAGCAATGGTCACACACATCTGTGCTCTAAAAGGAACTCTGTGCAAACATCCAGCCCTCCCTGGTCCTCACACCAGCCTTGGTGTCAATGAGGTCGCATCTCAGTCAGGCGTTTGGATGGGGTTGGGGGCAGAGTCCATGCCCAGGTGACCCTGTGAATGGCCTTGCTCCTCTCCATTTCCCCTGGAACAAGAGCTGGGCCGTGGGGGTGGCAGCAGCCCCAAGAGCTGCTCGTGAGATAGCTCAGTGCGCAGACCCTGGAGCCGGACGCTCATCTGTCATTCCTGGCTCTTCCCCTTATAACATGTGACTCCCAAAGTCACATCCTCTCTGTGCTTCTATTTCCCATCTGCCAAATGGGGGTAGCAAGGCACCTGCCTCAAAGGGTTGTCGGGAGGATGGAAAGTATGTGAAAGTCAAGCATTTGGGATCTTTATAAGTGCCCGCTCTTATCATCACCTACAGGCTCTTGCCCCCTCACTCCTCTGCCCTGTCTAGTTCCCTGTGGAAGGTCCCTCACTGGCCTGGTGGCAGTAACCGTAGGTGGTCTAGAGAGACGGGTCCATCGCTGCACTCTCCCACTTCCTTTTCCAGACTGCCACTGTGCCACAGCTGCTCCGAGTTGCGGAGCGTGTGCAGACCGCCCTCCTGCTGGGGACACTGCCTGGGGGCCTTCCGGCCACACTGGCCACCCCCTCCATCTCTGTGTACACACACAGGTAACCGGTTGTACTGTGGGTCCTCAAGAGAGCTCATCCCCTAACCTCGCTCATCCCACACCCACACCTCCATACCCTGTGATAAGCACAGCCCAGGAGACCAGACTTGGGGTTGGAGAAGTGATGGGACCTGAACATGGGGAGGGCGTTCCACCTAGAGAAGGTCCCCCTCTCCCTGCATGTTGGGTGTCTGTACAGCACAGGAAAGGAGGCGTTGGGTGTTAGAGCCACCTGAGGGAGTCCTGAGAGATGGCTGGTATCGGGGCTGGGCAGGCAAGGGGGTGAATGGGTAGGATCAGGCCGCTGTTAACCATGCTCGGGGTGTGTCAGGCCAGCCCATTGCACCAGGGGCCTGTGGGTGCTCAAGACAAATTGCCTTGTCAGTTTCTCCATGGAGCGCTCATCTCTCGCCAAGCGCTGACCCAGTACCCGGGGATGCTCAGCTCCCTCCATCCCTCCACATGATGAGCAGTGACTGGACGATGCTGCAGGCACTGCTGGATCCCCCTGGCTCCAAGCACCAGTTCTCAGTTCCTTGTGCCGGGGATGCCCTCTTGGGTCCCAGGGGTAGTTTCCCAAAGCGTGTTCTGATCAGAGCTAGGAAACCAGGTCCCCCATCTAATCAGATGTGACAAGGTCAAAGGCCAGAAAAGATGGGGTTGGGAGCTCATGATATCAGAGGTCAAGGTAGTTAGGGGGAGAAATGTCTACATCCAAGAACATTTATTCATTCAGCAAAAATATTTGTTGACCACCTATTACGTGCCAGGCACCGTTCTAGGTATTGGGGGTACAACAGTAAACAAAGCTGGCAGGAGCCATGTCCTCAGGGAACCTTCAATCCAGAACAGGGGACATCAACTGCCTTTTGTGCTGCTTCTACTGACACAAACTTGCAGAACCATCTAAAGAGATCAAAATACAGCACCCACTCTGATGGCAAAGCAGGAGGTATGGGGATTTTCCTTGAACACTGACTCTCTTCTCTCTGTTCTCACTTTGTGGCCAGAATACGAGGACGGAGTTGGCGCGGCTCCTCCGTGCACATGCCTGCTGCTAATGCTGCTGCCTTCACTCTGCCTACCGCCTCCTCCCTTGGCTCTGGGGAGGACAGCCAGGAGCCTGTGGACATAAGGGTAACATCAGTAATAACCTCCTTAGGGATGGCCCTTTGCAGTCTGCAAAGCACTTTCATGTGCATTTGTTCATTTATGTTGCTAACAGCCCGTTTTACAGACAAGGCTCAATGATGTGCCCAAAGCCACAAGTGAGTGGCACAGCTGGAATTCATAGCCACACCTCCTGACTCCATACCCGTCCTCTTTCCACTGTGCTGCAAAATGTACCCAGCAGACTTGGTTCATTTAGTCCTTGGAAATAACACTCTTCAGGCTTAGTTCCACAACGAGGAAATGACAAACCCAAGGCTCTTTTCCATCCCCAATTTAAGGCACATCTCAACTCCTTGAGCCCTAATGAAAGTTGACAAACTTCTTTCTCTTAGACACTTACTAGCTTTTTGGCGGAAAGACTTGGACAGTTTTACATTCCAGTAATTGCTCAGCTAAGGCAAGTCTGATTTGGATTCTCTAGGGCCAGATCTCTGAGACCACAGCCCTGAAGGGCAGAAATTGACAAACTTCTTTCTCTTAGACACTTACTAGCTTTTTGGCAGAAAGACTTGGACAGTTTTACATTCCAGTAATTGCTCAGCTAAAGCAAGTCTGATTTGGATTCTCTAGGGCCAGATCTCTGAGACCACAGCCCTGAAGGGCAGAAACATGCCAGGGAAACCCCAGCAGCTGAGGTGGGCCCCCACCTACCCCACAGGACAAGGGCTACTCCTCTGTCCCATCTTAGGACTTCATCATTCTCATAGGGACCTATTTACCTTCCAGCCCCTCAGGGGCCTTGGCCAACACCCTTGCTCTTGGTTTCAGATGATGAGCTTCCCAAAGAGCCCCTTCCCACCCCGAGGTCACTTTGATGTCAGCGGAACTGTTGGTGGCCTCCGTCTAACCAGCCCTAGTGGACAGCTCATTCCTATGAAGAATCTATCGGAGAACATTGAGGTAGAAGTTGGGCGTGTTGTCAGAAGTCAGGTGGTGCTTCTGTCTTCAATTTGGTTAAGACCAAAAGTTGGTTGGTTATGAAAAAAATGGTTAAAGAAGGGAATCATTCAACATGATCCTTACCCTACCTTAAACATTGCATTTAACTTAAAACTACAAATGTACATTTGTTCACCAACCTTTGGGTGTTCAACCAAGTTTTCCTGGTTATATAAATCTTTTGATTGGGATTTTAATCATCTTCATTGCATGAACTGCCGCTGTGACATAGCCCCTAAAATGTCTAGTCAGATTTTCTTTAAAGTTAAGCAAAAAATATAAGCACATCATGGTGCAGTATGAGTTCAGATTCTTTCAAGAGTTTTATTACTTTTTTCTAATCAATGACTAATTCAATAGCAATTTTTAGAGATGTCGGGGTCCTCATCCCTGGAGCCTGCGAATATGTTACCTTTAATGCAAAAGGGGCTTTGCAAATGTGGCTGAGTTAAGGGTCTTGAGATGGGTGAGTATACTTGGTTAATCGGTGGGCCCGATGGAATCCAAAGGGGCCTTGTTAGAGGGAGACAGGGGGAGTTAGGGAGACAGGGGGAGTTAACTATAGCAGGGGAAAGGTGATTTGATGACAGAAGCCAGAGGTTGGAGTGATGCCACAAAGGGGCTGTGAGCCAAGGAGTGCAGGTGACCTCTAGGAGCTGGAAAAGGTGAGGAAACAGATTTTCCCCTGAAGCCTCCAGAAGGAGGGTGGCCCTGCCAGCTTTAACCCTGAGAAACTGATTTTGGACCTCTGGCCTCCAGAACTGTAAGATAACAAATTTGTGCTGTTTTAAGCCACCCAGTGTGTGGTCATTTGCTGTGAACAAACAGGACTTCAGTTCCCAGGTGCTTGCCTGCACAGCTCTGCACAGCTGCCCTGGGGCCCACCATCTGACACTGCCTTCCTGGCACACCTTGGATTTGATTGTTTCTGATGATAGATCCTGCTGCCCCGCCTTCCTGAAGGACACAGCAAGCCGACCGTGTTGAGTCTGACCAGTCCTGAAGCTTTGTGGGTGAACCTGACTTCTGGGGAGGCGGCTCTGGGGATCCAGCTTCACTGGAGACCTGGCATCCCACTCACGCTCAGTCTGGGCTATGGCTACCACCCCAACGAGACCAGCCACGATGCCCAGACTCACCTTCCGCTAACAGCTGCTCCAGGTGGGCCCATTCTCTGGGCCATTTCTTAAGCCACTTCCTGGAGTGTGACCAGTTTAAACTTGAGAATCAGAAGCCATGGGGAAAAAAAGCAAAGAAAAAAGCAACTTGCCACACTCAGTGGCTTATTTTTGTTGGTGTTAGTGTTATTATTGGCCAACATTAGGTGAGCATTTACTATATGCCCTGAAGAGCTGAGAAATGCTTACAGAACTGACCTCATTTCAGTCTTTATGACAACCCTTGGGGGTGGGGACTATTGAAATCTCCACTTACCAATAGGAACAGAGAGATTAAGTAACTGGTCTGAGATCACACAGCCAATGAGGAGAACCAGCGTTTGCGCCCTTGCCTGTCTGACATGGCTCTGCACACTGACCGGGGTGTGCTCCCCCTTCTGTGCTCCTGGTCTCAGGGGGAGAAGATACTCGTAGCACTTCAGGGAAACCATCAGAGTCTGCTTCTCTGCCAAGTCACCACTGTCCCCCAGTCTCAATGAGGCGTCAGGCTGACCCAGAACCCCCTTTCCCGCAGATGAGCTGTTCACGTGGATCCTGAGCCCAGAGGACTTGCATTTTGGAGAAGGTATCTACTATTTGACTGTGGTCCCCGAGTCTGACCTGGAGCCAGCCCCTGACAGGAATCTCACAGTCGGCATCACCACTTTCCTGTCCCATTGTGTGTTCTGGGATGAGGCCCAGGAGACTTGGGACAACTCTGGGTGCCAGGTAAGGAGAGGGAGGTAAGGAATGGGATAAAATGGCTTGGTGGGGTGTGCCCTGCTCATGTAGTGTCCCCTTTTAGTGCCTATGGTTCAGCATTTTGTGCCCCTCCATGAGGCCTTTGCATATGCTGTTCCTGTGACTGGAATACCCCCCACGTCCCCGCCCCAGCCTAAGCATCACTTCCCCGAGTAAACTGTTCATGGCCACTGACGAGGTGAGATTTCTTGTTGTAAACTCTACAGCACATGCGCCCTTCCTCCATAGCACTGAGCACAATGGTCACTCTACCTCTGTGTGTGAGCTCATTTAAATGATATCTGTCTCCTCGGTGCTCTGGGAACCCCCGAGACAGGAGCAATGAGTTTTGTTCACCGCTGGGAGCAAATGACCATTGAATGAGTGACTCGGGAAGCCCTGCTGACTCTGGGCTGCTGAAGGAGGCCAGAGGGTCATTTCCAAGGAAATGAACTCATAGCTGAGCCCTTCATTCTACGCCAGGTGCTGTGTTCCATGCTGTTCTTGTAGAGGCTGCTTCAAAACGTTCATGGATACATAGAATGAATTAAGAGATTATACGGAGGAGCACTTCTCTGATTCTGTGTGGGATGGTGTTTCCCAGGTCGATCTTCACATTTGTCTGTCAATAAACTTTACAAAGTTTAAAAAAAGAGAGAGAGAAAACAAAACAAAACAAAAACAAAAGAAAAAAGGAATAGAAAAAGTTAATACAAACCTTTCCACAAATGTTTTGAAGATCCCTCGTGCTTGTATCATCTCCTCAAATCTTCACAATTATCCCCAAGACAGTTACTTCCATTTTAGGGGTGGTAAAACAAAGTCTTAGGAGACTCAACTAACTTGCCCCAAATCCTACACTTAGGAAGTGGAGGAGCTGGGACACGAAGCCGGGACTGTCTATAATACAAACCTTTCCACAAATGTTTTGAAGATCCCTCGTGCTCGTATCATCTCCTCAAATCTTCACAATTATCCCCAAGACAGTTACTTCCATTTTAGGGGTGGTAAAACAAAGTCTTAGGAGACTCAACAACTTGCCCCAAATCCTACACTTAGGAAGTGGAGGAGCTGGGACACGAAGCCGGGACTGTCTGTCCCCAGAGCACGACTTAGCAACACGTGGCACTGCTTCTCCAGCGCTGGGCCCTGTCCTGCCGAGCCCCTGGACAGCACTTGTCTTTATTAATTGCAATCAAATCCCTGTCTTAGGTCAGCTCAGCTCTGCCCCAAGGAGCCGAGGCCTGTGAGAGTGCCCTGCAGACAGATATTGGCTTTGAGCCATCAGTGCCATCTCTGGAGTATCTCAAGTCCCCTTCCCTTCCATGCCTTAGCATGTGCCGCCCTCTCCCGGAATGCCCTTCTCACCTCCCCCTGCCTGGGGAACTCCTCTTTGCCCGGCAGTCTCCCACCCCAGTGCCATCTTCCTGGGGAGACTCCCAGACACCTCCCTCTGTTGGACTTCCACAGCATTTCACACCCTTCCCAAGAACAGCAGCCTCCCCACCGAGCTGAACTTCATCACACATCTGTCTCCATCTACTAGACCATAGAACCTTCTTTCGTTTATTCCACAAATATTCACCATGTGCCCAGGGGAAGGGATTTAATGGTGAGACAAATCAGAGAGCTTTCAGCCTAGCAAAGGACACACCCATGTCAGATGACAATGGTCACAAGTACTATAAGAAGCCATGTCCCAACAGAGCCATGGAAGCAGGAGACTCACAGTGAGCTCCTTCAAGCCTTGTTTCTGCTGCAGCCTCAGCTTCCCTGTCAATTCCTGCCCTGGCTTCTAGCTGCCACATGTAGGGCATTCCCCAAAGCACCAGGAAGAAACAAGGGCATGTGGAGATGTCCAAGAGACAACAGGTTTCCCATGCTTGTGGCACAAGCCTTTGTACCACAGGAACAAGACCCTGGGTGTGGGGCATCCTTCTGGAGTTTCTGGGCCTGAGGCTCAGACTGCATCAGATGGTGTAGGGGTGGTGACATGGGCTCTGCCATCAGACAGGCTTAGATTCGGTCCCACTTCATCAATGAGCTTGGATAAGCCACCTCACCTCTCTGAGCTTTCCCATCCTAAAGTGGGGATCAAGGCTGGCTACCACGCAGAGTTGAGGTGGGGCAGAGACGAGATTAGGGACATAAAGTACTGAGCATGCTGCCTGCTGCACAGTGAGTGCTCCGTAGACTAAAGTGACTGTTCTGTTAAAGATCCAGGGTAGAGAGAAGACAACATGTGTATAAAATGGAAATCTATCAAACAGTGAACAGGGGCTCAGGATGGGGGTTGGGTGGAGGAGGCATGGGGGTGGCTTGGGGGAGGACCACTTAACTAAACTAAGTTATTGGGAAGTTTCCAGCTTCTGATTACAGTGGTGAGTTCCCAGGTGCTTCTCATGTTATTAAGAATATGCGCCTACTAATGCATACGACATAAATGTGGGACATGAAGAGGTTGTGTGTGGGAGTGTATCATGAACCAAAAATTATGATTAATCTAACGTTGTCTACTTGATGCTCATTACAGATGCACATACAGATATGGATACAGATATAGATATATAGAGATCATTTTATAGAGTTCATTGAGGAGCCATAAATAAATATATAGGATCATCAAGTCTGGATGGAAAACCACCACTGAACTATCTAAATAGCCAAAGAAACTTCCAGATCTCTGGACTGCAGACCCTTATCAGGAAGTAAAGGCAGATTTATTGCAAGGGGTCTGAGAACCTTAATATATATGAAGAAAATATATATTTTCTTAAAGGATATAAAAAATGCAATTACTGTCACAAGGGGATTCATAGACAAGTTTCTGATGTTCAAAGGGGCCCTGATGCTGGACGAGGTTGGGAAAGCCACTGCCTCAAGGTCTTTGTGAAACCCTGGAGGGCAAGATGTTGGGCATAAGTCAAGAAGGGTCCCTGGACTCCCGGCAGACACTGGTCTTGTCACCAGCACTTGCTTGGGTTTCTTCTCTGAAACCAGCCCCACCCCTTCTGGGCATTCTAGCTGTTCCCGTAAGCTCCACAGCTGTGTGCTAAAAGCTGGCAGGATTGAGAAACAGTGAGAGAAACCAAGGAGCAAACCCGGAACTAAGACCCACCTGAAATTTGTGATAAACAGTTGGCACCATGCCATGTGGAGGGGAGTGCCTTTGCCGGGTGGCTCATTAAAGAGAGGAGACAAGAGTTACCTGTCAGGGCATGACAGGGCTTCGGGAATTTCTTCCTCACCAGGTGCTGGAGTAGAGAGGAACTTTCTGGATACCAGTCTTTCCTGCTCCCTCTGTCCTCACCATCTAGTGGTGACCCTAGAATGAAAAGGCGGTGCTGGTTTGTGGGGTTGAGTTAAATCTTTGTGCACCAAATGGCTCTGTGAGGTGATGGCGAGCTGGCTGAGGGGTTTGGGGATGGCCTGCCCTGACTGTGCAGGGTGTGAAGCAAGAGGACAGATGGGGGTCCCTGCCCTGACCTGCTCCTGCCTTCTCCCACATTGTCACACCCATGAGAGACCGCATCCCCACGCTCACGCCACACCTTCCTGGTGTTGAGATGCTAGCCTGGGGTTTAAACACTTGTCCTTTCCTTTTTCTTCCTGTGGTTCCCCAGACTGTCTTTCTGCTATTCAGCATAAACTGACCAACCATCCCAGTTTGCCCCAGACTCAGAAAAAAGAGTCCCAGGCAAACTGAGATGAATTGGTCACTCCAGATGTCCTCCCAGCACCTGGCCCATGGCTGGGCACTGAATTAACACTCAACAAATATTTGTGCTGTGAATGAACATCAGGTGGGGCAATGGACCAGACAGACACACACCACATTTGTGACAATGGCTGTTTATGGAGGGCGGGGGACAAAGGCGACTCCAACTTCACCTGCCATGCTTCGTATCTAAAAAACACAAAGCACAAAACATACACAGTCGGCTTCTGAGAATGATGGATACAAAGATGTTTATTATAAATACTATTCTCTGCATTTCAAAATTAATTTTCTTTTTATTTATTTATTTATAAGTTTACATTGATTAATTTTGTTGTTGTTGTTTGGTGGCTGGACGGTATGGGGACCTGAACCCTTGACCTTGGTGTTACCAGCACCATGCTCTAACCAAGTGAGCTAATGGGCCAGCTCTAAAATTAATTTTCAATTAAATAAAAAAGCCCCAGGGGAACCCTGAGTCTGGTCTCCCAGCAGTCTCCCCAGCCCCACACCCCTGTATAGCGTCTGCCACTCAAAGCAAACATCGTTCTCTTCCCCTGGCTTAATTAAGCTTTCCGTGCATTTCTACCCATGGCCTCTTTGGGGGTTGCAGGTGGGGCCACGGACGACCCCCTCCCAGGCACACTGCCTCTGCAGCCACCTTACCTTTTTTGGAAGCACGTTCCTGGTCATGCCCAATGCCATTGACATCCGCCAGACTGCCGAGCTCTTTGCCACCTTTGAGGACAACCCTGTGATTGTGACCACCGTGGGCTGCCTCTGTGTGGCCTACATGCTGGTGGTGATCTGGGCGAGGAGGAAGGATGCTCAGGATCAGGCCAAGGTAAGGTTGTGTGGTCCCTGGGTATGGGAGAGAGGAGCAGGGGGTGTCCCCTTGCAGGGGGCCCAAGGAATTGAGCCCAGGTGGTTAGCTGAGCAGTCGGCTACTCGTCCAGGCCTTGACCCCTGGGGATACCTCAGGAAAACTGGCCCATCAGCCTCTTTATCTACAAAATGTCCTTTTCCATCAAATTATTAGGAGGATTTGTGGGGGGAGCCTTGGGCCCTGCTGTTGGGGGAGGCTGGAGCCTTTGAAAGTGTCAGTCAGGCGGATGCTCTATACATATGTGACTGACCCCCGATGGTTAGCATAGGCTATCTGGCATGGCCCAAGGCTCCAGGTTTACAAAAACTCTCTAATCCCACAGGATTTGCCAAGGGCTTACAGTGATGCTTACTAGGATCTGGCCACTGACCGTCTTTTCTTTGGGACGTGCAGGGTTTGGACACCCCAGGCTCGGTGTGTTCACCTTTCCTCACAGCGCTTCCAGCATCTTTAGGAGGAGTGGCCCAGCTTCAAGAGGGCACTTGACTGGCCTAAAGCCAACTGGCAGGAGCCAGAATTTAAACTCAGATCTGCCTGAGCGTAAGAGGGGTCTGAAGATAGAAAAAAAGACCAGCAACAACAAATAGCGCAGCTCCTGTTTGCAACAATGAAGTTCTTATTTTTTCCAGTATATGCACCGTGTCTGACACATAGTAGGCTTGCCATAGATACTTGGAAATGTCTGAGGGAACACATGAATGATGCTAGGTTGCATACCTCTGAAGCTCTGACCATTCCTGCCCTTCCCCCGCACAGCAACACCACTCAGGATATTGACATCGGATAAAACTTAAAAAGATGACAGTTTCAGCATTTATACTGCTGTCTTTGATTCACCCAAGGGATTAAATATTAATACTTCAGGTGCCTCAGCTGTAGGGTGCTTCCCGGGAAGTGGACTCTGAGATGGAATTGAGCATGCAGGGTGTTTATTAAGGGGTGCCTGGGATCAGTGCCTGGGAAGGGAGAGAAGGAGGCAAGGTGGGCAGGGGGAGAAGAGGAGCTGCCACGCAGCTCGATGACAGCTGCCTGACCCTTGGGAACTCTGGAGCTGTCGCAAGCTGGGCTGGGATGCCCACGTCTTGATCACACCCAGATGCTCCACCAATTGGTTATTGGGTGCCAGCTGCCCCAGGCTCTCGCATCCTTGACACCAGCACCCCAGCAACTGGGGCAGCAAGCCCTCCCCTGGAGGGAGATCTGGGCAGTGCATTTCACAGTCCACTACAGCCTCCGACTGATGTCAGCTAATTAAAAAAAAAAAAATCCCTCAGAAGCATAATCTGCTTACCAATATAATGAGGAATTATATGTGAACAGAGTTTGCATAGTTTAGCAGATTGGAATGTTCTCAGCTAAATACCAAGTTCACTTGGGGTCATATTTAATAAAAAATGCACTTTGTGCTTTTTAATTTTACCGGTTTTTTGGTGGTTGGCCAGTACGGGAATCCGAACCCTTGACCTTAGTGTTATCAGCACCACACTCTAACCGGTCAGCCCAATTTCACCAGTATTTTTTACTTCAAACCCTGCTCTTATAAAGAATGGCTCTCACCTGATGGAATGAGTAGATTGCACATGTAATTTTGCTTTTGCACTTTAATTGTCGTGAATGCCCAGCTCATTCTTGGCTGGCATATGACAAATGAACGCTCTGAGCAGGGCCCTCCTAATGCCATCCTTCTGTCCAGGTGAAGGTCGCAGTGCTGGAGGACAATGATCCCTTTGCCCGGTACCAGTACCTGGTGACAGTCTACACCGGACACCGGCGAGGGGCAGCCACGTCCTCAAAGGTACCTGACCACGCGGGACCCGCTGGTGGATCAACACGTCCCACTCAGTGAAGTGCTTGCTGTGTTGTTTGGGATTACTTTAGCATGGTGGATTTTGTGTTGTTGGATTTTTTTTTCTCTTTTGGTTTTTGTGTTTTAGAGGAAAGAATATTATTGTCCAACAAAACATTATCTTAAGCCCCAATATTAAAAAAAAATAAACTAGGAGTGGGAAAGAGCAGGCTGGGGTCTGGTCTTGTGTCCCTGGGTCATCTCCCTTCTCCCTACTAAAGAATAACTCAAGCATTAAGTTTTTTACCCACAAGTAAGTTTGCTCATAGGTGAAGCAGAACAGTCAGTAAGCTGTCATCAGTGAAAAATGGGGAAAGCAGAATTTATAAGAGAGAGGGGGAAAGGAAAGAAAGAAAAAATAACAACCATGTGAAAACGGCGAGTCTTGAATTACATTTTTTAGGTGGACTGACTAGCGGGCCTGGCTAAGAAGTGAGGCAGAGCCGTTGTCTGTCTTTGAGCAGGCTGCCCAGAGGTATTGAAGAATATATTTCAGTTTATGGATTCTCTGAAATCCTTGAGAAACTAGCTGTGGAGCATATGGCAGGCTGTCTCTGTGATATCTCAGCATCCGTGAATGCCCAGCTCATTCTTGGCTGGCATATGACAAATGAACGCTCTGAGCAGGGCCCTCCTAATGCCATCCTTCTGTCCAGGTGAAGGTCACAGTGCTGGAGGACAATGATCCCTTTGCCCGGTACCAGTACCTGGTGACAGTCTACACCGGACACCGGCGAGGGGCAGCCACGTCCTCAAAGGTACCTGACCACGCGGGACCCGCTGGTGGATCAACACGTCCCACTCAGTGAAGTGCTTGCTGTGTTGTTTGGGATTACTTTAGCATGGTGGATTTTGTGTTGTTGGATTTTTTTTTTTTCTCTTTTGGTTTTTGTGTTTTAGAGGAAAGAATATTATTGTCGAATAAAACATTATCTTAAGCCCCAATATTTAAAAAAAATAAACTAGGAGTGGGAAAGAGCAGGCTGGGGTCTGGTCTTGTGTCCCTGGGTCATCTCCCTTCTCCCTACTAAAGAATAACTCAAGCATTAAGTTTTTTACCCACAAGTAAGTTTGCTCATAGGTGAAGCAGAACAGTCAGTAAGCTGTCATCAGTGAAAAATGGGGAAAGCAGAATTTATAAGAGAGAGGGGGAAAGGAAAGAAAGAAAAAATAACAACCATGTGAAAACGGCGAGTCTTGAATTACATTTTTTAGGTGGACTGACTAGCGGGCATCTGGCTAAGAAGTGAGGCAGAGCCGTTGTCTGTCTTTGAGCAGGCTGCCCAGAGGTATTGAAGAATATATTTCAGTTTATGGATTCTCTAAAATCCTTGAGAAACTAGCTGTGGAGCATATGGCAGGCTGTCTCTGTGATATCTCAGCATCCTCAGTTAAGTCTGGTATGTGCCATATACCTCATCAGAATCTATCATGCCTTGCAGCAGCCTCCAGTGTTCCCTTATGGAAACTGAGGGCTCTGTGGAACACAGTTTGAGGACCACTGGCACTGTGTACACAGTCCTGGAGAAAACACCATTGTTTTTGAAAATGACATTCGGCTTCATGAGAGCAGGGTATTTATCTGTTTATTTATTTATTTTTATGTTTTAAATTTTATTTTTTTAAATTTATGTGTGTATTTTATTTTTTAAATTTTAAAAGTTTTATTTATTGCCGTGTCTTAGGTCCTAGGCCAGCTGTCTGACCTAGAGTAAGTGCTCAGTAACTATGTGTTGAATAAACGTAGGAATCACTTTCACCATTTAATGAAATATCTGTCTCACTTTCCTTGGACACTGATGAGTTGACCTCAACAGGAAAGGAGTGAAAAACCTCTGATCCCCAGGCCTTTTCTCTCTGTGGAGTACTGTAGTCACATTTCAACTTGATATTGTCTTAGTTTGGGTTCCCCTAGAACAATGATTCTCAATTAGAGGTGTTGTTGCCCTCAGGGGATCGTTGGCAATGTTGGAGGCATTTTTGGTTGGCACAACTTAGAGGAGGAGGTGCTCCTGGCATCTAGTGGGTAAAGACCAGGGATGCTGTGAAACAGCCTGCAATACACAGGACAGAGACCACCACAAACAAGGATCCAACCCCAAATGTCAATAGTGCAGGTGGAGAGACTCTGCTGTAGAAGCCAACTCCGAAACAAGGATTCGAGTGCAAGTAGTTCACTTAAGAGGCATCCCAGGAAACATCAGTAGGGGAGTGGAGAAGCCAGACAGGGAACGGAAGGCAGCCCATAAAGGGTGCATCATCAAAATGGGCACCTGGTCCCTAGTCCCATCACAGGACTTGAAAACACTAGGAAATATGTGCCTCAAAGTCATCCCAGCTGAATGATGAGGGAGCTGGGGTATTTAGCTCCCATTAATCACTGACCGATTGACTGGGAACTGTGTTCAGGGGGCGTTAATTCTCTAGCACTTCTGGCCTGCCACTCTAATAGCCAAAGAAAGACTCCAGGGAAAGAGTTGGACTTGGTGTAGGGAATGCCACAGCCATGAGGCTGAGGGATGCAGTCAAGCACAGGCAGCATCTACTGCAACGCTGTTGTTGACACAAAATCAAGAATGCCTATCAGCGCCACCTGGACATCATGAGAAAAACAGATTCCTGGGCCCAATCCCCAACATTCTTACTTGGTAGGTCTAAGGTGGTCCCTGGGAATATGTGTATTCAAAGTTGTGGGTATTGTATTCATTCATCTCTCAGTGCCAGGCACTCTGAGAGGCACTGGGAAAATAATTGTTATATCCAACTGGGGAAAACAAGTTTCTGCCCTACAGTCCTCACAAATATATGAGGAGTTTGGAAAGGCCACCAGGAAGCATTTTTTTTTTTTTTTTCTTTTTTCCGGGTCCGGCAACGGATCGCAACCCTCAGTGTTGCCCCCGTACCGGACCGGGGACCAGCAACGTGCATACAACTGAAAAATGGGAGGGAGGAGAGGGCAAAAGGGCTGTGCTTCATTGGTTTTTGTTTGTTTCTGGCCACTTCCAATGAAGCAGGGCCATTGTGGCTTGGTTACCAAGTGAAGTTGGCCACTCCTGGTCTCTGGATTTCAGGTGACTGTCACCCTGTATGGCCTGGATGGAGAGAGTGAGCCCCACCACCTGTCAGATCCCAACACCCCAGTTTTTGAGCGAGGAGGAGTGGATGTCTTCCTGCTCTCTACCCTGTTTCCCCTGGGGGAACTGCGGAGCCTCAGGCTGTGGCATGACAACTCAGGGGACCGGCCATCCTGGTGAGTTGGGGCAGACAAACCATGAAGATCTACAAAGCAGCAGGCCCAGGGTTGGGCTGCCTTCCTGATCCTCACAGCCTCTGCAAAACTCGTAGAAAGGATCTCCATTCCACAGATGAGGAAACTGAGGGTCAGAGAGGCCCACTGGTTCATGGTCCACACAAACTGGATCAGTAGCTAGGAGAAGAACTAGAAGTTGCAGTCCTGGAGTTTAATGCTAGCCCCACCCTTGGCCCTTTCACAGCATCGACCTGTGACTTACCCAAGGTTATACCACTAGCAAGTTCAAAGTACAGTCTTCCCCATTCTGTCTGAGGCCAAAACTAGTGACCCAGATGAGTGGTGTTCAGTCTGACTGCCCATCAGCAGCTGGCAGCTTCAGAAAAATACAGCATTTATACTGCTGTATAATTCACCCAAGAGATTAAACATCAATACTTTAAGTGTCTCAGCTGTAGGCTGGATCCTGAGAAGTGGACTCTGACATGGAGTTAAGCATGCACAGTGTTTATGAAGGGGTGTCTAGGATCAGCGGTTAGGAAGGGAGAGAAGGAGGTAAGATGGGCCGAGGGAGATGTCCAGCTGTGTGTGCTGCAGCCCAGTGATGGCCCAGCCAATCCCTTAGGAGAGCTCTGGAACTGTCCCAAGTTAGATCGAAATGCCCAGGTGTTGATCACATCAGGCACTGCATCATTGAACGTCAGCCACCCCAGAAGGGCACGTAACCTTGGCAGAAGTGGCTTTTGCAACCCTGAAGGAACTGTCCTTCCTGAAATGAGAAAACACACGTCAAGAGCATTTTCACATAGTCCCCACTATGTAGTAAATGCTCAGTGCAGAGTGACTATTGATACCATGATTCTTCCCGTGAGCTATATAGCAGCGGGGAAAATCGCTGCTGGACCTGACATCCCAGGTTAGGCAAGATTTTAATTCTTCCCCATGCCTCATAGACATAAATTGGGTTAGATCATACCCATGAAGTCCTGACCCCACAATAGATGGTGGGCTAGCCCTCTGGTTAGAGACCCAAGAGAGACTCATGTGTCGTGTACTCCTGCCCGCACCTGCCTGAACACACACTGGAGACAATTTGGATCTACTCGCTCAGCACTGGATGCTGGCCCTCGGTTCAGTGCCACATTTGGGGGTTCACAGTGTCAAAATGCACCCTCTTGCAGCATGTTTGTGAAAGTATGGCATGCTCCCAGAGCTGGTCGTCTGCACTAGCCGAGCTCCCCATAGGAGGCCAATTTTGATCAAGGCACCAAGAACAATGAATCTCTTGCAGCATGTTTGTGAAAGTATGGCATGCTTCCAGAGCTGGTTGTCTGCACTAGCCGAGCTCCCCATAGGAGGCCAATTTTGATCAAGGCACCAAGAACAATGAAGAAAAATATGGTCTCTTTTTCCACGAGCTCTTGTTCCTGGGATTCAGGTTTGCAGAGATGTTACCTTCATGGTGTGTCATCATCCCCCACCTTATCCTCAAAGCTTTGGGTCCCTTCTCCAGGTATGTGAGCCGGGTGCTGGTCTATGACCTGGCAATGGACAAGAAATGGTATTTCCTCTGCAACTCGTGGCTGTCCATCGACGTCGGAGACTGCGTCCTTGACAAGGTGTTTCCAGTGGCCACAGAACAGGACAGGAAGCAGTTCAGGTACTTATCTTTCTTTTTAAGCAAATGCTCTTTACTTCTTTCTTTCATCTCGAAGGAAGTTATTTCACAATCAAATTGCAACCAAATAAAAGTACAGGCTAACAAGCCTGGATCACTTTGCCTGTGTGACAGTAATGGCCAGTCAGTTTTTCTTGTTGGGAATGAGGGCCATGGAGGGACCTGAGCCCTCCAAGACAGAATTTTCCTCCAGGTGGTGAGAATGGTAGGAACAGTTACACATCTTTCCTTATGAAAGTCACAGAATAATATTTTTTATGTTAATGAACAGATGGATTTGCAGGGGATTCAATATCTGGCCATTTGGGGCTCCTTTTTCATGTTGTTTTACCCTGGATGGATTTTTCAGCACATACTTCATATCCTTTCCTGCTGCGTACCCTTCTGCATGGGTTTCCAAACACATATAAGCAGATGCAAATGTACCACACGCACACACGCACATACACATACACACTTAATATTATAGATTTTTGCTTATATCTTTTAAAATGGCACATTACTTTAAATGTGATGCCTTTTTTTCTATAATAATATATCAGGAACATCCTTATGGGAGAACATGTTTGGGTCAGAGTGTTTCCTTATTGGTTTTGTAATATTCCATAGAATGGATGTCCCAGACCAAATTCAAACATTCTCATATCAATGGGCAGTAAGTCTGTTTCCAGTGCATTTATTCAGGTGGCTTTTCCTCTCAGCTTTCCAGCTTACCTTCCAAGTGGGAAAAAGTCTGAATCAGAGAGACTTGGACCCCAAAAGAGGTATAACACAGACGTGGACATGGACCGTAAATCCCACATGGCTGCCACTGACTTGCTGTATGGCCTTGGATAAGTTCCTTTACCTCTGCAGATTTCAGCTGAAAAACAAGTTGTGGTGTCCCTACTCCAAAGGGCACTTGTGCAGATTCATGAAACAATGCATGTAAATGCACTTGGTCCAGTGCACAGCTCAGAGGAAGTGCTCAATTTGTAAGAGCAGACACTGTCACCCAAGTGTGTCAAACCATATGATGCCTGGAAACTGGACAGGGAGCTCTCTGAAGGAAGGCAGGACCATGCCACTCCGCTCATGAATCTCTGGTGCCCAGCAGAGTGTCTGGCACACGGTCCCAGGCTCAGAAATATGGATGAATGAATAGAATGACAACGTGGAAATCCTCGTTGTTGGCAATTGGCCCCTCTCTTTATGTACCTTTGCTCTAAGTCCAGCCCATCCACACGGCCCAATGTGATGGTCACAGTGTGGTACGTCCTTGGAGCGGTATGTGGACTAGTCAGGACAGGTGCCAGCTAGCAACCTCAGCTCTGCACACTCTGAAAAATCCAGGCCCTCGAGTAGATCATGTGGTTACACTACATTCTACTCACAGGAAATAATACAAATTTTTATGGAGACCGTGGTGCTGTTTACAGAGACCTGCCTTGCAATTTTTATTCTCTTAAACTGAACCCAGTTTGAACCTGAGTCTGAACCCAAGCCTGGGATTTTTAACTTCTATACTCTAATGGTCTAATTACATAAACCTGAGAATATCATAGTTATATTATTATACTAAAATCGTGGCAAAAATAATAATGCTAATAATGACTGAACACTCACCTATATGCCAGCTACTGTCCCAAATGCTTTACAAAAATTATCACTTTTAATCCTTTCTTTTGTTATCCCTGTTTAACAGACTGGTAAACTGAGGTACAAACAGTAAAGTAATACACCTGAGGTCACATAGCTAGTAGGAGGCAGTCTAGGATTCCAGTCCAGCTCTTCCCAGAGTTTCCATCATTGACTCTAAGTGATGCTGCTATGATGCTGTATTTCTTCTAT